ACATTATAAATTATAATTCAATATAGAGAAGCCTAATTTAAAACCCTATCAAAAACTATAAAAAGACCCAACTTGATAGTTCTGGATTTTCTCATAATTTGGCTAAAGAAAATAAACTAAAATAAACAATGCCGTCAACCAACAGACAAGGGCAAGGCTGCYGAGATCAGGTGGTAACTAAAGCTGTCTGCTTCACAGTAATATGTTTTATGTAGGCATGCTAGTAACGCCAGTTTATCCAATCTAGTTGCTAGCCTCTCCGACGCTAACACCAGTCTATCCAAATGAATAGTCTCCTTCTCATTTTCCAGCTGCTCAGTTACCAGTCAGATCAATAGCTGGCTTAGGGATAGATACTTTATAGCCTCCAGCTACAAGGATGTAGCAACCACTGGTTGCACGATAGTCTAAATGTTGGCCCTCATACCGCACCATAAATGGTAGCATGTTGTAAAAAAATAAATAAACCAACAAAATCATTTTTTGTTTCACTTTCTGTTGTCCAGTTCGACTCAGGACCACCACCAGCACAACRACTTCCACTACAACAACAACAGCAGGCACTACAACGACTACCACCCCTATGACCAGCACTACCACCACGACTCCCACCACAACAAGCACCACGACCACCTCGGCCTCCACCACGCCGAGGCCCACGCCCAGGCGCCTAACGACGCCAGCGCCCCCTCAGACCTCCAGAAGCAGCAGAAGTACAGAGCGCCCTCAGACACTCGCGGCCACGAGCACAGAGACRACCAGTCTCAGCAGCACCACCAGCCAGACGTCAACATCCACACGCACACCCCTACTGGGCTCATTGGTCCCCAACAGCATTCAGAAAGAGACCAACGCCAACCTGTCTCACAGAGGTATGTATCATCGAAGGTTGTCCTTAGGTTGTTGGTGAAATGGAAGAACAGTGTGTGCAGGTGGGTATTCCATACTWTGTGGGGACARTTTTTGGCAWACACCCCTTTTTGTTGGGACCAACTGATATCAGGACCTAAGCCTAGTTTCCATGGGGGAAATGCCATTAATGGGTTGGGGGTTAGGTTTCAAAKGTATGAACTGAGTTAAGGTTAGATTTAGGGTCTGGTATACCTGTGAGGTTCGGGTCAGGTTATAGAACTGAATGGAAGTCAATGCAATCCTTCCATAATGATAGCTGTACTAGACCGTGTATGAGTGCGTGCATGTGTGTGTGTGTGTGCAAACCCCCACTATCGTTACCACCTGCTATTAAAGCAGCAAGAAGTTGAAAATCAGTACTTACAGAACATCAGCCCCCCCCCACCCCACATCTGTCCTTTCAACCATCTGTCCACCCGCTGCGTGATGTCTTCCTCTCCTCCTTTTCTCACTCGTGCACTCTCATAAACACACTCACCACCAGTCTCTCTGTCTTCTCACTTTTAGTCCCTCGTGGCCAGTTTCCACCAGATGTGTCAGAGCTTACAAACAAAAGTCTGTTCCGTTCTCTACAACCACTGTTCATCACTCACCCTCACTTTCTGACAGCCACTCTTTTTTTTTTTTGTTTCCGTCTCTGACTGTCCTCCTGCTGTCTCTTTCCTCCTGTCTCTCTAACATTCATGTTTTACTGGAGGTCAAGGAAAATAAACAAAAAAAAGATGCCATAATTGGTTTATTTGGAAAAAATAAAACTGTATTTGCAAGCAGGAAAAAAAAACTTTAAACTACAWGGTTAAATTGACAATCCACTGAGCTGCAAATACCATTTTCTTCACTTTGCATTTTTGTTATGTTGAGAAATCAACAAAAGGCAGTAAAATTATTTTTTTTTTCATCTCTCTAAGGTTGTCTAGATACTTCTTTAAACAGAAAAAATGTGTTTCAGAATAAATTTGAGCAATTTTTATGTTTGTAGAAGACTAAACATTGAATCAAAGACACATTTTTAAACAATGTATTACATTTAGACTAATATATTGATACAAATGCAATAATCTGATATGCCTATTAGTGTTCTATGTAAAAACTGTTGTTTTTGCAACCTTTCTAACATGCACTTCTAAATGCATGCAGTTAAATCCTATAGGTGCACTATAATTTTTATTACACCAAGGAGACGAACCCTGAGSTCACAATGAGGGCTTAGATATTCATATCTTATTTTGCTTCTCCATTTCATCACATAATCAGCACATGGTAGCTGATAATGTCAAAATAATTTAGAACAAATAAATAAATAAATCCAACACTAGCTCATGAATGATGTATTTTTATATAACATATTTTGTCACTAAGCAGCATGAGGTACATACGTGTACTTGTTGAAGACATGCATTGTTGTTATTCCAGTAGASTGACATTTAAAGTTAATAAAATCACGTTGGATAAGAACAGTACAGTGCTTTGCAGAAGGTACAAAGTATACATTTTAAGGCATTTACATCAACCTAACCTCATCAGACTCATGTTCTAACAAATTTGTCAGGGCTGTTTTTCTTGAGAATCCTCTAAAATCAAATTTATTGTTTATAGTCACAACAACATATAGATTATTTTATTCTGTTGCTCTTTTAAAGAATAATTTCACTTTTGAATCACTGCCAAATTCAATAATGATGCTATTTTTCCTGTCTCTGATTCAGATTCCAACTCATTCAGTTATAGCCAAGAAAATAAATCGTGGCTGTGACTAAAACTACAACAAACGCAGGTAAAAAAAGGGCTCCAAAAATGAGGCCATGAGCACCTACAGTGCAGGAACAGCTGCTTTCAGAAATGAGCCAAATAACAGGAAACAAAATACAAGGAAGGGAAGAGCRTTTGATAAAGACAAGGTACTGCAGTGGGTGTGGTTTTACAAAAGTGCCATTTCATTCTTCACTTTTAACATTATTTTGAAAAACAAGAAATAAAGTACAGTAAATTATATAAAAGATGAAGCACAGAGGATATACATGAGAGAGTAGGGAGTAAATTTCCGAATATTTAAACAAAAAGACACMGCTAAAGTCAACGAAGAGGCCAAAGGAAATGAAGAGTGGGCAGAACAAAATAGGACACAACTAAATATTTCAACACTGGAAGAAAAGTTGTGCATTTTTACGAGGATAAGAAATGACAAAATGAGGACAAAGCAAGAGTTGGAAAAAAAATAAATTACATTTTCTGGGATTTAAAAAAAGAGTGTTGCTGCATCTCTTGTGGAGGATGCGTTTTTATTTATTTATTTTTTTTTTGTTGCTAAGCTCAAAAAGATGTTTCCTTTGAGTCTCTGAAGTTGTCAGCTTTCTAACCTGAAATGCTTGAAATAAGAGGTGAAAGCATTAAAGTAAAATGGGGGCACGAACAAGACGTGTCTCCAGACCCACAGGCCATGTGTTGTATTTTTTACCTCAGTGCACAACGTCAGGTTTGCCGGCGTCAGCTGGTGTGCATTCGCTGTAGTGGGACGAGGAAGCGGGAGTTTAAGAGCAGACAGATGAGAAGTAAACAACAGCTGGTAACCATATTTTAAAAAAACATCTTTATCTTATAGGATTTCAACTTTTACTTTCATCCTGATGTGGGTAATTATTTAGGAGGCTCATAAGAGTCRAAGTAAACAGTGAAGAAAGATTTTTTTGTTGAATTCCATTCTGCTCTCAGAATATCCTTACTAAGATGCTCACCTTGTGGAAATAGTGTTGGGCAGCACTTATCTAAAAATTACTTGCACTAACCMTAAAGCACTAACTCAAATATTTGGCTCCCCTAATTCTAAAGCACTAACACACAAAAAACATTTAGCTAATGCTAAAGCACTAAAACACACAAAAAAAGCTAATTAAAATACTAATGCACAAAAACAAATCTAGCGAAAACTAATTCTAAAGCACTAACACACTAAAACATTTAGCTAAAGCTAATGCTAAAGCACTAAAACACACAAAAAAGCTAATTAAAATACTAATGCACAAAAACAAATCTAGCAAAAGCTAATTCGAAAGCACTAACACACTAAAACATTTAGCTAAAGTTAATGCTAAAGCACTAAAACACTAAAAAAATTTAGCAAAAGCTAATTCTAAAGCACTAATGCACAAAAAACGTAGCAAAAGCTAATTCTAAAGCACTAATGCATTAAAACATTTAGCCAAAGCTAATGCTAAAGCACTAAAACACTAAAATAAAAATTAGCAAAAGCTAATTTTAAAGCACCGATATTACCCAATCAACCCATGGAACATTCTTCAGAGTCATGAGTCACATATTGCTATGTTGCTGTTTTAAACCTCATCAATGATAATCCACAGGCTGAAGGGCTCGACACACGGGAGGCGACGTCGCTCKCTCTCCATTCATTTCCTATGGAGCCTGTGCGGTGAAGCGACAATCTCTTGCCCTCCTCCAGCTAAGCGACCGGTGAAAATAGTGCATGTGAAATTTCGCACTCGTACACATACATGTGCACACGCGAGCTTGCGACGCGACATATGAAAGTTGAAAAATGTTCAACTTTTGTCGCTGTCGCTTAGCGTACAACCAATCAGCGARGGTTTCATTGACTGACCAATGAGAGGAGAGTATGCTACACACTGCAGTTAGCTAACACTTTCACCAAGTGATTACTAAAAAAGGCAGCTTTGTGGGAATTTATTGGCACCAGGGTGAAGTTTATGGTAAGTTTTTCCTCATAAAACTGTATCTTGATGTGTGTTTGTTYTTCAATATCATTAGCATCGCAAGATTTGTTTAGTTTACACGTCCGTAATGCACACCCGCCTTCAGAGTCAAGAACCAATCAAATTTTGTGAAGACAAGCGACCTGAGAGCGTGATTCGCAACGCAGCGATCGCTATCGCGTCCCGTGTGTCGGGTTTCACCCTGGCTGCGATGACAGCCGTTAATCGCTGTAGTTTGTYGCTCCCCGTGTGTCAAGCCCTTTACATGTGTTCACGCAGTTTTAGGGAGGTGACTCGTTAAAACAGATCTTTCACTAAACAGTTGCTGAGGAYTGATAGCTCTCTCTCTCTCTCTCTTGTTCGTTTGTCATTTTCCTGTGTTTATAGTAGGGCTTTGGTCAGAAAGCATGCAAGATATCAGAAATGGTGAACTGAAGCGATGCATTCTGGGGACAGCATGGCATTGGGGGCGGGGAAACGGAGTACAGAAAATTGAAATATTCAATGGAATCGCTTCAAGGGCTCCCATTGTAAAGGAAATAAAATGTGGGAATTGTCTCAAATTGGCTGTAAACTAAAACCATTAGTCAGGAGTGCAGTCAGTCAGAGTATACAGCTTCTGAGAGAAACAAAATGTACTTCCAACCCATGAGGGTTTGCTGCCTCAAGACAATATTTACTGTGTGCAGAATATTGTCAATATGTCACCTGGTGGATAAATAACATGCATATTAACATAATGAGAGACAGCTTTCACCAGTGGTGGCCACAGTTCTCCTAAAGCACTAATAAGGGAATTGATTTCCTGAATAGAGCTTTATAGGGATTTTGCTATTTTATAAATTCATTAGTAGATAAGCACTTGCTAAATTTATGGGCTAAATTTAGCAGCACTAACTGAGGTCTTTAAATGTTATCGATCAACATTCTTGTTATCAGCTGAGGTTGAAAGCGGTCACACATTTTGTTCATATGTGTCACTTATCCACTAGGTGACGTATTGACATTGATTATTGACAATATTCTGCATATAGTAAATGTTGTCGCATGCTGACTCTGAAGAATGTTCCATGGGTCACCTGGGTTGTATTAGGGCTTTAGAATTAGCTTTTGCTAAAAGCTATTCAGCAGGTCTTCAGAAGATTGTTAATCAGTCGTTCATTCAAACCAGGTGTGCCAAATCAGGGAAACATCTAAACAGAAAGGAGTCCTTGAGGACCAGGGTTGAGAATCACTGCTTTATTATGTTGTCTGATTTATTATTTACAAATAAATGGCAAAGAATCAATGACTTCCAGAGGCAATACTAAAAAACATAAAACTAAGTATACAGTATTATATTTTGAAAATGTCTCATGAAGCTCAGAGAAGCTCCTGAGGTGTTGGTCAACATTTAAAGCAGTGATTTTTAGATATTTCCCTGATTTGACACACTTGGTTTGAATGAATGAACAGCAGGAAAACAAGTAAAACATGCTGGATAGGAGTACTTGATGACCAGGGTTGGGAACCACTGCTTTGGGGGAACTGTGCCCACCGCTGCTATATATCTATAATCTATATATTGACTATTGTTCCTTAAATTGTTAAACTGCCTTTTCTGAAAGTAATATACAGTATAATATAATAAAATTATTCCATATTTATGTGATATTAGTACATAAACTTACTACATAAATACCAAATAAATGGCTTGTACATACCAGGCTGTAATATGTCTTCCTTGGTTTTTAGTCATATTTTGTTATTTGCATCATGAAA